TGCTCATTTATCTAAGAAGTATTGTTGTTGCAGTTCAAATGGCTTTGGAGTTCAGACTAAATGAAATTCTGGGGCATGCCTAGTTAGAAACAACTCATGACGTAGGTAGCTGAAGCCAGTCTACCCCACTCAGATGCTTTCCAGAAGTGATGGGAGAAATCCACCCAGACCTCCCAGTATAGGAGGTGTCATGTTGGAGACGGGTGCTATAAACAAATGAGATATAGATTTAATTCTGGTTTGTGGATTATCAGGCATTTAAGTCAATTTTTCCAAGATTTTAACCGTGCAAGCCTATTCTGTCTATTCAGAGTTCAGTGGAAATGATAGGCATATGAATATAAGTTTATTATCCCGTGAGAGAATCATATTCCTAATTCCAACAGCAATTATGTGAACAGGGTATTTATTTGATCATTACATAAATGTGCCAAATCAGTGATATTGTAATTGTGTATTAAATTACTAAATAATTTAATCCCTGCTTTCTATATTCCTGAAACTACTATATAGGTGATACAGTCATAGTATAGACAGAGATGAGTAAACCATAGATTACAGGTGTGATCTCAATTGCAATAGAACAGCCATATCCATATCAGGCATATATATCAGAAGCTAAGAGTTCTTGAAAAGGGAAATGTTATGATGCAGTGGGAGAGGCAGGTGGAAAAAGTCTTCTGAGAGCCTTTCGAACTGTTTGTCTTGATAATTATTTGCAATACTTCTGCATAGGACAGAGTAAGAAAGTTGGGGATGAGGGTAGCAATAGAGTTCACCAGCAGAGCTTATTGATGGTGAAAGATCAAAGAATATATGGTCAGTGCAACTGGATCAGCAAAATGCAACCTGGAAATGATGATTTCTGGCAGAGGACACACAAAGCTACAAATGCAGCATCTGAATACTAATTGGATGGAAAGTTGGTCATAGTGGCCGTATAATTCATGCCTAGGTAATAGTTGCAAAGCCATCATCATGAGGAAGCAAGCACCCAAGATCTCCAGGAAGGAGGAGATAGATTTGCAAGAAGATGGACTTGTTTTTTTAAGCGAGAACTATATTGCAACAATCAGAGAAACAGGAGACCCAAAGGCTGACTGTAACCTGCTCATTCATCTAAGAAGTATTGTTGTTGCAGTTCAAATGGCTTTGGAGTTCAGACTAAATGAAATTCTGGGGCATGCCCAGAATTTTTTTTTTTTTTTGCTGTAGGTTCATCAGCTTCCTGGGTATGGAGGCTGTGGTGTAGGACACCTTCAGGGTAGTCAACATGGAAATTACCAAAAAAAAAAAATTAACCAAGTGAAGGTGGTGGTACAGTAGAGGATAAAAATGAACACTTAAATCACAACCAGGAGACAAATAAGAATATGGTACAGTTCTCCAGGTCTTGGAAAAATGAATCACCCATCTCAGTCTCAGTCCCAGATGACCTAGAAAGCTGGATCGGCTCAAATAGAAGCTGAGAGGTGGTGCTGGTGGAGGGGGGGGAGGCACACTGATGTGGGGAGAGAGAATGCCAGTCCGTCAGCCATTATTCAGGCTGCTTCTGAACACACGTATAGCATTCTTCAGCAGCTGATCTCCAGGCTGGGAGAAGTGGCCAGTGAAGAGGGGAGCTGGACTGATTCAAGCAACGTGAAAACATTTGCCGTGAACCAACCAACCAGGCCTCACATGTGCAATCCTATATAGAAACTAATCCAAGGAATCAGAGACCTGGCAGGTAACTTCACTTGCCACCTTGCCCAGTCTGGGCAGCTGAGTGGAGTAGAAGAGGGTGAGTTTTGACAAATAGCTATACCAATGCTTGTCCAAGCAGACAGCAAGTGCAGTTAATTCTCAAAACCAGCCTCAGCTTTACTTGTGGGTCCAACCATCTGTCAAATGACAGCAGTATCGCAATTGGCATGTGGCTTTCCTGGTGGCTGCTGATGCTGAGAAGGGAAAAGAGAAGGAGAAAAAGGGGCAGGCAGCTTTTTCTGCAGGAGAAGGAGGACACCATCTTCTGGATGCAAGCCAGAACAGAGGTGATTTGGATTCACAATGCGGGCAGCAAATTGTATCTCAGTTTAGTTTGCTGCTGGCTCACAGATGAATGCAGAACATTTTAACTGAACAGCTGGGGAAAGCCCACTGCCGCCTTCTGGGATTCTTTTTTTCACTTCCCAGTTTAGCATACAGCTCTGATTTTTCTTGGTAGTCTGCTATCCAAATACTAAAAGATCTGACCATAATTTCAATAAATTGCTGCATGTTGTTGTTTTTTGTGGTAGGGGGTATATTAGCTGCAGAATTTTAGAGGTGAGCACAGAAGCCTAGTCATAAGTTAAAGAGTCAACACTGACCTGAGGACACATAATCAATCAAACAAACCATGAAGAACATCAAGATTATATCTGACTTATGTAAGAACTCCGAGTTAGGTCCAGAGTTTGTTCTGCGCAGCTAGATTGACAGAGGCAATCTGTTCACCTCCTGCCCTTGCTATTCCCCAGTTCAGCTTCTGTAGCTCATGTGAATCAAAAAGGTTTTTATGTGAGGAGAGTTCCCTGAAAATTGGGCTGAACTACATTCCCTTGTGGCAATGCTTCTATTCAGTTTGAAGGATATTTTCTCCTGGGCCCCTCCAAAATGCCCCAACCAAGTTCTCCCAGCAGACGCCCAGCTTTCTATGTAGTATAGAGAAGTGTCCTTGGGACGGCAGCAATGGGCATCCCCTTCTACCAGCTCAGTTGCATGTCAGAATGATATGGGTTCAGTGTCACACCAGTGTTCATGGGGAGTGTTGGGAAGTCAGAGTAGAAAAGTAATGGGAAAGGTGCATTTGTCTCCTCTGAATCTCCACAGAATTCAGCCATAATAATACTTTGCCACCCTTTAAGTCATGCTATGAGGCAATGCTTTGGGCTAAAAGCAATTTACCCAAAGTCATACAATAAGCTTCAGCGATAACCAGGGATTTGAACTCTAGTGCAGGCCCACTTTAACATTTGTATGATTTCCTGTACAACCTTGTTGTCTAATAGTGCCAAACTGTGGAATTGCTCTGCAAACCAGACTGTTGGCAACATTGGTCTCATAAAATAATAAAGTTTGCCTGAATTGTACCAGTCCAAGAAGCTCTGACTTTCATTACTGATCACACTGAGCTGAGCTCTTGCGGTCAACAACCTTCCTTAGTAATGTTCAGCTGTCAGATAAGGATTCCAGGAGAGGAGCCATTTTGGAATGTGATCTTCAGCAAAGCCCAGCTAGGAGCAGCAGCTAGATGGCCTTGGCTGAGCTCAGCAACCTAAGCAGGGTTGGAATTGGTTAGTATTTGGAAAGGAGACCATCAGGAAATCTCAGGGTGGGAGGCTAGTCTAGATGTCAAAGAAACATGACCCACGGCAACAATGGCAAATCACTTCTGTATTGTTGAACTCAACGTAAAGGACACTGTACAGAGGCAAGCATGGCATTTTGCAGGAAAGCAGCTTCACTTTGATATAGAAACTCTTATACAACTTAAGCCCAAATTACCTTCAGGACTACCTAGACTTACGTATAGCCTGTTCCATCTCCATATTCTCATATTTTCCATCCCCACCTCCATATTCTCAGGTCTTCAGTTTCAAGTTCTACAACAGATGCATCCAACTCAGAATAGCTTCCACCTTTTTCATGTTGGATTTTTTTTGCATAACCAACTGCTACTGGAAATGAGGCAGCCCCTTTATATCTACCCAGGCTTTGTACAGATTGTAGAGGTTTTTGTGCCGCTATTGATATGGCTCTTAATGCTTGTATGATAAGCTGAAGAAGACAGCAGGGCTTCAAAAATGCTTCAGAAGAAACCTGAACTTGGGGTGAGTGCAAGAGAGTTCCTCTCTGCTACTCACTAAAGCAGCCTTGAAGGACTGCATTAAAGACATGCCACTGTAAGTACTTGATTCATTAAATCCGC